GGCGTGGGGCGGAACCGGCCCGACCCGGCCCGCCCTCAGTGAGGCGACTGCGGTGTCAGCAGCAAACAGCCCAGCAGCCAGCGCTGCCGAACCCGTCCCCGGGGCCGAGTAACTCCTCCCTGTGCCGGCCTCCCGGCTGCTGCAAGGCTGATTCAAAGGGACTTCATTCAGCGTTCCTGCCTCGGGGGCAGCTGCGGTTCTGAGCCCAGTGCAGCTACCGCTGGAGTAATTGCCATTGCTCTCGCTAAAGTAATAGCAGAAGTGGTTTTGCACTGTTACAAATGCCGTTTGTTTGTTTGGGGTGTTTAAGGAGTCTTGTCGGTGAACGCTGCCTTAAGCCCCCCTCTGATAGAGGGCAGTTTAGTGTCTGTTAAGCGCAGGTGTTGTCTGTGCTGCAGACTGACGTGCTGCTGTAGCCGCATCTCCCTTAGCTTTGCTGTAACTAGGTGCAGCTCTGAGAGGTTAGAGAAAAAGGCAGGCTCCTTCTGTTCCTGCCCTTCTCAGTACTTGAGCAAAGCAGAGTGATGTTAGCTCAGGTGTGACAGTGTTGGCCTACAATCACACGTGCTGAGTATCTTAAAAGCGTAGCTTAGCATAGTGCAGCTGAAAATAGCAGTACTGGATGCTTAGAGGTGATGTGCACAGAGGTTGTTAATAGATGAAGAGACATAGAGGAGGATTAATTACCAAAAGAGAGACCTGCCCTTTTCCTGAAAGAGGATTCCACGTACCTGAATAGGCACTGGGTTTGGAGTTTGCTGCCTCCCAGAAGAGCATGTTAGCACTTGACACTTGATCATTTTCTCTGAAGCAAAACAGGAGCTCTTTGCTCCTGCACCTGCCCAGTTTCTTTGCTGTTATCTTGGCAGCTGTGGAGAGCATTTTACCTGGTTTGGACAACAGGATTAATTCACCTGACAGCCATGGTATGTCTCGAGGCAGGATGGCAACAAGTGGAGGGTCTGCAGTTACTGAAGCTGGTAGAGTAATTCCTCAGGCTGGCAGGTGAGCAGTAACAAGGTTCTTGTGAGAACCTAGTGCAGCCCCGGTTACTGCCTCTGTCCCACTCATAAGCTTCTGCAGATCTCGCTGACTCAGAGGCATTAATTCCTGGCTCCCAGGCAAGCCACTGGTGAAGGCAGAGTGAAGACTAGAGTGCTGAGACCGAGTATAACCTGCTGGATGTCTTGTAGAGTCTTGTTGCTAAGTCTTCTTTCTTTCTTCCCCTTGTCCTGTTCTGGGCGGATGTGGAGAGTTAAACCAGTGCTTGTTAAAATTACAGTCCTTGGTAAAATTTCCCTATTTTGCGAAAAGGAGGAGAGTGAGAAAGTAGCTTCAGAGCTGCTGATATAGAGCATTAGACAGCTAATCTGGGCAAATTATTCCTATAAACTTCATATTAAGAAATATCTCTTTGAGTGACAAAAAGAATCAGGCTCTTTCAGCTGATATTTAAAAAGGCACTTGGAGTTGGTCATATGCAAAAGAACTCAGACCAACACCTTTTATTTCCATTCATCTCTTTTGTTTTGCAAAAGCATACTATGCATCTCGTGTCGCTTGATTCTCAGTCTTCTGATTTATTGCCCACGTCCTTTTGGCAGCTTCACTTCTTGGAGAACTGGATATATTTTATATTTTAAATCAAGGTGACTGGCTCCAAGCTAGCTAATACCTAACTTTTTTTGTGTTCTGGCAAACAATTTGTTGTACACAGTGTAATTTAAGCTACTGGCTGTTCATCAGTGAAGATTTTGATGTATATAAAGAACCTTGGTTTAATCAGTGATAATAAATTTGAACTGGCTTTTTGTCCCTGAGATGCAGGACATAATTTTGCTGAATTCCTCTTGTAGCTTCATTCAGCTGGATGGTGAAATTACTTAGATTAATTAAGGTAAGTAGAGTCTATGGAAGAACTTTAGATGAACTTGGCAAAATGAGTTGAACAGGCAACACACTGCGGGTAATGTTCATTATTAATAAATGTTGAACAAGAGAAATCACAAGAAGCAATTTTATTTTATTCATATCCTACTTTATAAATCAATTAAGGGGAAGACTTGGGCACTGTTATGTATAGATCAGTTAAAGCAATGATCAGAAATATGAACACATATGCTAGCTTGTGGGATTTAAACCCCTGAGTTGAAAATGGGGTTCATCCTTCTGAGTCATTAAGAGCATAGCTGTGGGCTGCAGAGACACCTTCAGTAGCAACGGATGTCTGGCTCTCCCTGGAAGCCATAGCAGCACAGTCATTCTTATGCTCTTGAGTTAGACCACAGAGTGCTCTGCAGCTGTTAGGAGCTACTGCAAGGGATGGACGTAGCTGCAGAGGTTAGGGAACAAACTTGTATATCCATCTTGTGTTGTGCAGATGTACTGTATTGTGTTGTGCTGGTAGTTGTCAACTGAAATATCTCTGTTTTATTTCCTAGTGAGCCCTTATATCCCTAATATGTTCTCAGGGTTGAACAGAAATTGCCCTTCTTAACATTTTTTTGTGTATTGTAGGATTTTTTTTGTATATTCCACTGAGATGCCTGGAGCTAGGTGCAGGATTGTATGATTCTCAGTTCCCTCAGAATTAAGTTCCTGTAAATGAAACCGATAGTGACATAGTTTGATTTTTAGGTTTTGTGTGTTCAAGGATCTGAAGTAACCCTTCTAAATAAATATGCTTATATTGACCCTTTTACATTCTTATTCAGTATTGTGTTTTCTTTCTAGGCAGCCATAGTGCTGTGCCTGGATGTAGGCTTGACAATGAGCAATTCTGCCTCCAGTGAGGAGTCTTCACTTGAACAAGCCAAGAAGGTTATGACAAAGTTTGTGCAGCGACAGGTATGTATGACTTTGCATATGGTTAAAAAGGGAGAGGAAGCAATGACATCTGTGAAATATTTTCCTCATTTACTAAGAGTTAAAATAAATGAGAAATAAGTAAGAAATAGTCAGTTTTTAAGCAGTTTTTAACAGTGCTCTTTGTTTCAACTGTACTTTTGTGGAGATGTGGCAGTTGAATTGGTCACTTTTTTATTAGGGGGAAAAAGTATTCTTCTCTTTTTCTAAAATATTTCAACCTTCTTAAGATTTTCCATATTGAAGACTCATTTCAAGGGACTGGGTCAGCCATTTTACTTGTTTTATGCCAGATATCCTCATGTCAGTCTGTTAGTTTAATTATACCTAAATTAATGACCTCTCTGTAAGATTACTTTTTGGTAGGATAGCACTGAAAAAGTAGAAAAAAGTAAGTCCACTGTACTTACCATTGTTTCAAGATTAGTTCAGCTTGCTTGTGTCTACACATAGTTGTGTCTGAATCTGTGGGCTTTTTTATAGCTGTTTTATATTTTCTCTGTTTCCAGGTTTTTGCTGAGAGTAAAGATGAAGTTGCTGTAGTTTTGTTTGGCACAGATGGTACTCGGAATGGCCTCGCCAGTGGGGATCAATACCAAAACATTACTGTACATAGGTCGCTAATGCTACCGGATTTTGATCTGCTGGAAGACATTCAAGATGTGATTAAAGCAGGCTCTGAACAAGCAGACTGTATCCTTTCACAGTAGAGCAATTGAACTGATTCTGCTACATAGGAGACAGGAAGTTAGTGCAGTGAAATGGGCTCAGATTTGCCCCCGAAGTTTTAAGTGCTATCAGAGTTCAGCTAATTTGTGGTCGTAAGTTTGTTCAAAAGCAGATTAGCTGCTTTTTGACATTCTTTTAGGCTAGCAGATGGAGTCTTTGGCCTTAGGGAATCGTTGCTTTTATGAAGTGTTCTGTTAATTAAAAAGAACAAAGTTAGCAATAATATAATTTTAGGCCTCACATAAAGCATGTGTTTTTAAAAATAGTATTGCAGATTTTGGTTTATGCTTTATCATAAGATAAAAGCAGCAGTACTAGAAGCCAGACAAAGCAGACATAGAATCATAGAATGGTTTGGATTGG